CTTTGTTCCTCCCAACCTTTCTCTCTTCCTTCCCTCTTTCCTTCCTTCCCTCCTTCCCCCCTTCCTTCCTTCTCTCCTGTATTACATGTCATATGTTTTCACCTCACGTTTATATGGGCAGTTCAGCGAAGCGGTTGAGAGAATGGACACTAGAGCCCCAGTCCCTGGGATGCATTCTTGATTCTTCTGTTCAGTAGTCGCACAACTTGGGGCACATACTGTCTGTGCTTCATCTTTTTCATCTGTAAAATGTGAATAATAGTAATTCCTCCTTTCCAGGGTTGTTAAGGGGATTTCATGGGATAAGGCACATGAACTTCCTAAGCGTGCTTTTCTTACCCGCCTAAGCAACCCCAGTGCTGCTGTTGGTTCTGATAGAGGGTAGGTGAGCGTTCCTGGCCGTGCTTCTAGAACAGTTGGCCTTTCCCTCTGAGCTCCATTACGGGGTAAGGGTGAGGCAAAGGGCCTGGCTTTGTACATTTCGTCTTTGAGACCCTGAGTGTGTTCCAGAACTCTGTTAGAGCTTGTGTTCGAGAGTTTAGTCTGCTAGGTCAAAGATAGTCCCTGTTCCTTCGGGATGCCTAGGTTAGGTGTGATCTCCCGCGGGCATCCAGCTTCAAGCCCTGGAGCGTGAGGATCCAGGTGGTGATCCCTGCTCCTGCCCGAATTCTGGAACCTGGGTGGTCAGCCTGTGTGTCTTCTCAGAGCTTTCCTGTCACTGTCCCCGATTGCTTACTCATCCTTCAGTTTATATTGTCCAAACTGATCTTAAGGGTTTTATGGGCTTATTCCTACCCCACTTCACCCCCCTGCCGCAGTGGCAGCGAGAGTAGGGACAGCATTCTTCTCCACAGCCCCAGAATCTTCTGTCCCTCACCACGGTTGCCACTTTACAAAGTGCGTAGACTGAAATTATGCTTCTTTCCCCATGGGCTTTTTTTCTGCTGTTGATAATTGTCCTGGCTTTTTCTTCTCACCTCTTGTTGGGAAAGCACAATTCTCTGATCGAATTTTATTCTGCTGTCTTTGTCCGGAAGTCTTGTGGTGAGCTTTGGGGAAAAAAAAGAAAGATAGGAAAAAAAAAAAACAAACAAACATTCCTGGACCCAACCCTGGACCTTCCATTTCAGAGGGCCTGGAACTGGGCCCAGTTATCTCCTTTTTTTAAAAAGCTTCCCTGTGGCTCTTCGGATCAACCAAGTTTAAACCCAGTATCCTTGTGAGAGGATTATGTTTTTTTCTTACCTTTTCATTAGCCTATCTGAAGAGCAAGTGTAATACATAAAACACTTAAAATTTCTCAGAAAGATCCCATAAATTTAAAGCTGCTCTTTGTGGTTTATTTCCTTGCTTGTTTTTTAGGTGACCTCATACAAAATAAGGCGAGAAAACCCATCTCCAGAGAATGGAAATGGAAGTTGATCCTTCTGTCTAGTGGTCCCTGGGAGAAAAATTCTGATTTTCCCATCCATACCTCTTAAGCTTTTAGTTTTCTGTTGGCATTTATAGAGTGAATTACTCGCTGGTGCTTTTAAGAAGCATTTTGAATGCTGTATATGCTAACATGGTCCAAGTGAGACTCATTCATCTGGACCTGACAGTCTCCACAGGTTGTCACCCACAACAGACTTCCCCCTGTTGTCTTTAATCCTGTTTCGGTTTCGATTGGCGAGAAAACTAAAAAGAATGCTGGTTTTACCTGTCTCTAGTCAAGCTTTGTTTCCTTCAACTAGATATAAAATTTAAATTATTTTTATGAAGGCTTAGGACTGGAAGCTAAAAAGAAAATGTGGGTTTATTAAATTATTTATTTATTTATTTTTTAACATGAAGTGAGTTTTTGCTTGTTTGTTTTAAGTAGTCTCTACACCCTACCTGGGGCTCGAACTCTTGACCCCAAGATCAAGAGTTTCACGCACTTCTGACTGAGCTGGCTAGGAGATTGAGCCCCACGTCAGGCTCCTCGCAGGGCGTGGAGCTTGCTTAAGATTCTCTCTCCCACTCCCTCTGACCCCGCCCTCCCACTCCTCTTCCTCTCTGCCAAAAAAAAAAAAAAAAAAAACCAACCAAATTAAAAAAAAAAAAAAACCACATGCAGCCACTAGGCTTTTTAATACTCCAACTTCCCATATATTCTACTCTACGTCTATGTGGAAAAGAACCTCTTGGTTATATAGTCATCTGCTTTCCATGTGTTCCCTTTCCATCCCGGCCACGTGTTAAGTAGGACGGACTAAATCTGCCTTTTAAGGAGTGATTGTGGTAAACCATCTCAGCCGTACTGTGCTTTCAACAAGGAAGATTTCTCTCCTTTGCATTATTTGTGTCTTTAAGCCACATTATTAATTAATTAATTAATTTATTTATTTCAAAGATTTTATTTTTAAGTAATCTCTATACCCAGTGTGGGGCTCGAACCACAATCCCGAGCTCAAAAGTCACATGCTTCACCAGCTGAGCCAGCCAGGTGCCCCTAAGCCATATTTTTTTTTTTTAAGATTTTATTTATTCATTTGACAGACAGAGATGACAAGTAGGCAGAGAGAGGCAGGCAGAGAGAGAGAGGAGGAAGCAGGCTCCCCGCGGAGCAGAGAGCCCGATGTGGGGCTCGATCCCAGGACACTGGGATCATGACCTGAGCCGAAGGCAGAGACTTTAACCCACTGAGCCACCCAGGCGCCCCCCTAAGCCATATTTTTAAAGGAAGTGTTGTTTTTCAGCATCCTTTTGGATCTAGATTTATTAGGGAAACTGTTCTACGCGTCCAGAGTATCAGCAGAGAAAATATGACAGGGTTCACTGAAGCATGGGTCACACCAGAGCAGCCTTCAAGAGGGAACATTCTCTTCTCATCAGTTATTAATTATAATTAATAGTTAAAAATTAATTATAATTTTGAAATGATCATATGCTCATGTCTTCATTTTACTTTTATTTCATTACTATTGATGATATTACTATTATCATTACTATTTTAAGTAAGCTCTGTGCCCCACGTGGGGTTTGAACTCATGACCCCAAGATCAACACTCACATGCTCTACTGAGTGCACCACCCAGGTGCTCTTCATATCTTCATTTTATTTTATTTATTTTATTTTTTAAAAGGTTATATTTATTTACTGGTCAGAGAGATCAAGAGCACAGGCAGGGGGAGTGGCAGACAGAGGGAGAAGCAGGCTCCCTGCCGAGCAGGGACTCGGGACTCAATCCCAAGACTCTGGGATCCTGACCTGAGCCCAAGGCAGATGCTTAATGAACTGAGCTACCCAAGCGTCCAATATCTTCATTTTAAATTGCAACAATTGATATTCTGTTGGGTGTTATATATTCCGTCAGAAAACTTGAAGGGGCCATAGAGGTCATTTCATCCAACTCCCTCAAACTCGCAGATGATGCCCAGACTTGCTCACTGATTTGTCTGGGTTCAAGCCATCCCAGAGCAATGTCTTTTTTTTTTTTTTTTTTTTTAAGATTTTTATTTATTTATTTGACAGACAGAGATCACAAGCAGGCAGAGAGGGAGGGAGAAGCAGGCTCCCCGCTGAGCAGAGAGCCCGATGCGGGGCTCAATCCCAGAACCCTGAGATCATGACCTGAGCCGAAGGCAGAAGCTTAACGCACTGAGCCACCCAGGTGCCCCTTTTTTTACTGAAGTCCATTGCCTCACGTCATCTAGTAACACCTGTTAGAGATGAAATCACATCCACTTTGTATGTAAAAGGTACGATGATCAAAATTGTAAACTTAGGATGGCACATTTTTTCTAGGTGAATCTGTAGATTCAGAGAGAATAAAAGAAAATGTGAAATAATGAAAGTAGCTACTGGGAAAGAGGAATAGAAACACGGGATAAACAGGGAAGTGAGTACTGAGTTGTGGTCAAGTGAGGACCCCCCGCCGTGGACCATTAGTCAGCCTCTCCTGGCTGTTTCCCTAAACTGTTGCCACCCAAGTCAGGGGTGGGATCCATGGGAGTGAGTTTCATTTTTTTCAGGGTTACCTCCTGGTTTTTGTGTAAATTTACGTGTGTTGAATGTAAAGATTGTCTGTATTCTTGACCTGGAGGTCAGATTAGAAAGGGAGATGTGAGTGATTTTGTCTCATCTGAGTGTGGTCAGTGCAAATTTCCTCGACAGGCAGGTCCTCCTAATTAAATGTCTTAGCATGAACAGCCCCTAAATTCCTTTCCTTTTCATTAGCTCTTTGTAGGAGCAACCACACAGCCCTGACAACATGACTTTGGCACTTGGGTTTTTTGTTTTTTTTTTTTTAAGATTTATTTATTTATCTTAGAGAGCACGAGTGGGAGGGGCAGAAGGAGAGAGAGAATCCCAAGTAGACTATCTTCTGTGCACAGAGCTCGATCCCACAACCCTGAGATCATGACCTGAGCCAAAACCGAGTCAGACGCTTAACCACGGTGCCCCTTAGGCACCCGGTACTTGGATTGTTAATTTGAATATTTGGACATAGTCCGCATGCTTTTCTTGGATCATCCTGAAGATGATTGGGAGGGAACAGTGGCCCTGAGGGAAACTCGCCCTCAGCTCAGTGCTGCAGATGAAATCGGCCTCAGGTGTACACATGGTCTGTACTCTCCAATTAAAGTCAGGTCGTAACAGCCAGGTTAGCACCAACTCCTGCCCCTTTCTGTTCTCACGTGCTCTACCTTTGGGGTAAAAGATTAAAAAGGATGCAAATCTTTCACAACCAGAGCTTTATCTCCCATGCAGAAAAGATGGAAGGAAGCAGGGGCACCTGGCTGGCCCAGCTGGGAGAGCTGGCAACCCTTGGCCTTGGGGTCATGAGTTCCAACCCCACATTGGGTGTAGAGATGACTTTAAAAAAAAAAGGAAGGAAATTAACGGATTTCAGCTGCGGACATTTTGCGATTTTTTTTTTTTTTAAACTTACGCACAAAGCACTGACTTCATCTCTCATTCCCGATTTCTCAATCATCTTTCTATAGAAGGTGATATGTCTGCATTTTTGTTTTAGGAACCTTGCAAAGAAATACCAACCTAAAAAGAACTCGAAGGAGGAAGAAGAATACAGGTCTGTTCAACGCTGATAATTATGTGCTGATAATCTTTACGCCGGCCGTGATGCTGATGAAGGAAAGGAGAAAGGAAACGTACAAAAATAAGCTGCATTCCCCACCCGTGTTTGTGCTAGTTTTTAAATTGGCAGCGAGAACGGTAAAAACCCGGCTCAGCTAACTTATGCTGAGTCACTAGACCTATTCCAGATTGTTTCAATTAAGGTAATTGGGAAAAGCTCAGAATGTAATCTAAGCAAATACAGGAAGCAAGGATTGTGCATTCCACGGTCTTGATTGGCTTTTGTAATGTCAGGCGTCTCTTTCTTTGAGAAATCTGTCCATTTCAGTAAGCAACTTAGGCACCTTAGCGTGGACAGCGCAAAAGTGTTAAATCTCTAATTTAGATCTAAACACCCATTGAATGAATGCATAGTTGGCATGTACGGTATCTGGGGTCCTATTTGAACCAGGATTAACGAGGCCAAATACTGCCTTATATAGAGCGGTTCAGCATCACAGAATGTAGAGTGCCTCAGTGGTAATTAATTCTGAGCCATTTCGACGAGAACGCTCTTACGAGTGATGAACTTTCGGGATCCTATGGGACGTTGACGCACATTAATCTGATTTTAATTAATATTTCGTCAGCGCATACAGTGTTAGAACGGACGGGGCCCCTGTTTGAAAGAGTGGCGTGTGCTCATTTCCGTAGGTATACGGCTTGTAAAGCCTTCCTTTCCACCCTGAACGAAATGAATGATTATGCTGGGCAGCATGAAGTTATCTCCGAGAACATGACCTCGAACATCACTGTGGAGTTAGCCCGCTACGTCCAGGAGCTGAAGCAAGAGAGGAAATCGGTAACAGAAGTTTGTTTTTTCTTCCTAAAAGATGGACCAGGGGTAACGGGAATATCCCTAGAAACTTTCGAATTAAACACAATCATATAACGTGGTGGGCCTTGAACTGAATCGTGAAAAAGTTCCTCCTGTTCCCAGAAGGTGTTTCTGGGTCTTTGCAAGGGTCCCTCAGACACTGAAACTTATCTGAGGACACCCCCCCCACCCCCGGATAAAATCCCTAAGAGGAGTTTAAATGTATTTGAGGATCTCACACATAGAAAGAGTAAGCGATACCAGGTAGTACCTGCGGCACGGAATAAGTCGTATTAACATAAATGCTTATAATGTGTTCACAAAAGCCAGAAAAGTGATCTCAGCACCATTGACTGTTCTTTGGGTCCTTCGTCATGTAACGAAGAGGGCCTTTTTGGTCCTCCTGCCTTGGTCATCATCTTTTCATAGCTCTTACTGTTAACAAAGGAGAAAAATGTGTGCTCACATAAAGTATATTTATAGTCAAGGTTTTGTCCCAAAAGATTTAATTGTAAGCTGCAGTTGGTGTCCTTGTTCTCTGATGGCTTACGCAGGGCATCATAATTTGTTACGAATACAGTACTAAAGCTGGCCCGTGATAATACTTTTTTCATTTAAATCCAAGTCCACCATAATTCTTCTGGTGCCTTGGACATGCAGGAACAAACAGGGAAGGTGGGATTCCTACTGAACGAATGGAAGAGATGTTAAATAATAATGACCAAAATAATTACTTAATTGCAATTGTGATTGTTGTTGCCAAGTACGAGTGCAGGCGCCACAGGAGAGGATCGGGGAGAAGCTTCCCAGGGCCCTAAACAGCCAACGTTTTAATAAGACTCGAAGGATGAGGTAGAGTTGCCTGGGACAAGCAACGGAGGTAGCAGCCAGTGCAAAGGCCCTGGGACAGGAAAGTTTTTGGAACATCTGAGGAGTTTACTTCTTTCTAAGTAAGCTATAAATAGGTAGCACATGGCTTTGGGTGAGTTTAGTAGTCAGGAACAGATATATGCCTTAAGATCAACCATTGGTTTGAAAAACAAAACAAAAACCACAGGTTCGTAAACTGAGGTGACATGTTTATCTGTTCACATTAGAGCAGTGGATCTCAACTGGGCACAATTTTTCTGCCTACCCCGGCAACACTTACCAGTATCTGGAGATAGTTTTGGTCATCCAGGGGGTTGCCATTGGCATCTGGTGGGTAGAACCCAGAGGTGCTCGTAAATATCCTACAATACCCAGGCAGCCTCTCCAACAAAGAATTACCTGCCCCATAATGTCCGTAGTGCCCAGACTGAGAAACCCTGCACTAGAGCCCCAAATTAGATGACAGCATCTTCCAGACCGTTCATTAAAGATCTTTCCTATGATGGAAAGGAAGCAGTGCACAGAATACTGAAGTCCAGAATGAAGCACAAATGTCTAATACAATCATAAACTAAATACAGTAAATCTGAACTTGATGTTGGACTGCTTCCCGGGTTCTTGAACTTCCCTCAACCTTGCAAAGTTTATACCTTCTTCCTGTTTGTTTCTTTGCTCAGTGCTTTGTGTCTCTTGACTGACCTTTAGCCACCCATATAGCTTAGAAATTTAGCAAACACCCAAAACCAGAACTCTCTGCCTTTACTTTAGAACGGAATATAAATTCTATTTCTGAAGTGAATCATGAGATATGAGCCCACATAAATGGGTTTCCTGTTAACTTTTTTGAATGCCTCTCCTCCAGCCCCATGGCCCCCTTGCTGTTGCTCAACCTCACCCTGTGTCACCCTGCCCCAGGGCCCTTGCACTGGCTCTGGTCTCCTTGGAAAGCTTTCCCCCAGATATCTACAGAGCTCACTTACTGACTTCTTCTCAGGAATAGTGTCTTCTTGAGGTCTGTCTTGTCCACCTTATTTAAAATTACAAAGTCTCTCCTCTCCTTCCCCGCCTCATTCCCACCACCTTCCCTGCTTTACTGTTTTCCCATAGTGCTTACCAACATCTAACATTTTATATATTTGTTTTCTTTCATCTCACACTAGAATGTAAGCTCTGCGAGGGCAAGAATTTTCTTGGCTCCTGCCGTATCCCAAGCACCTGGAAGAGTGCCAGGGTAGAAGTAAGCATTAGGAAGTAGAGAGGAGCCGTCTTAGACTCAACTTTGTTCACTTTGTTCTTGGACTTTGTGTCATTAGTGGAGGATCCTTGTATTTCCTTTTCGTGTTATGATTGGGTCCTTTTGTTTTATTCACTCACTGCTAATCATGCCTTTTGTACAGTCCGTCATATCTGTAGCTTAAATTCTGTTCCTTTTTTTAATCAGAAATTATAGTAATTTATAGAGTAAATTATAGGTGATACAGAGACACATTAAATAAGATCTGCAATTCGTAGTGCTCCTTTTATTTTAGGGAGAATTACAAGTACACATCTGAGTCAGATGTTCCACTGGGAAGAACGACAACCACTAGGCTCTCTTGAAGCATTTTGTAATTACATGAAATGACATTTTAGGAAATTGGGAACCCTTTTAAAGTTCTAGAAAGAAAGAATAACCGTATGTAAATGCATATTTGTGGTGTTTTAATATAATGCATCATGAGCCTTTGTGCTTTTTTCCTACATATTTATCATTATTTTGAATGACCGTGTAATGGGCCATTAGGTTGTATATTGATATGCGGTGACTTTAGAAACTATTCTGGTTATATTGTCTGTTTAATTGTTTGGCCTTGAGTCTTCATTTTTGTGGATTATAATAACTGATAGCTATTAGGCACATTTCGTCTTCACAGCACCCCTTCGGGAGGGGCGACAGTTACACATTTTAATCCCAGGCCAGGAGGCTGGAGGCAGCAAGGCGGGGGTCAGGCCCTTCCCCAGGGGTGGCTCTGGGTGGCTCTCGGGGCCATGCGTGTTTGCATGCGTGTTTTTGTTTCCACTGAGTGACGTTCTTTAACTTACATCCAAGGATGCTGGGTTAGAGAGTGTCAGCTTCCTCACGGGCAGTCACCTCTAGATAAGGTGCTCCTTGAGGTCGAACCATAATGACCAATATTTCTCCTTTAGAGCTTTCCCTTTGGGCTCCTCTGACTCTTATTAATGAGTGATCTTACTTATTCTTGAAAAGATGACTCGTGGGGCTCCTGGGTGGCTCAGTCGGTTAAGCAGCTGCCTTCAGCCCAGGTCATGATCCTGGAGACCTGGGATTGAGTCCCGAGTCAGGCTCCCTGCTCTGTGGGGAGTCTGCTTCTCCCTCTCTCCCTCACCAACCCCCATGCTCTCTCTCTCTTAAATAAATAAATTAATTAAATCTTTTTAAGAAAGAAAAAAGAGAAGATGACTCTTGGGACGCCTAGTGGCTTGGTCCGTGAAGCATCTGCCTTTGGCTTGGGTTATGATCTCAGGGTCCTGGGATCGAGCCCCACATTGAGCTCTCTGCTCAGCAAGGAGTCTCCCTCTCCCTCTGTGCTCTCTCTCTCTCTCAAATAAATCAATAAAAATCTTTAAAAAAAAGATGACTCTTAAAAACACAGTAGAATGGCATCTTCTCCACTTTGTGGTGACATTTGTGACCAGCAGGAGTGGCACAACAGAGCTGGAACTCAGATCCAGGTCTTCCAGTGTCCCAGCCAGTGGCCTTTTTGCCATGCTGCTGTGAAGGGCTGACCATGTGCTGTACATCTTCCCTAGGAGAGGGAGATCCCAGACCAGCTGTGTGTCCACAGCTCCCTGGGAGGCTGTCGGACTAGGAGAGGAAAGGATGTTCTGGTCAACAAATGGGCTTGGGATTCGAGCAGCCCCACCAGCTGTGACACATCAGACCACGTCACGAGGGCTCTGGGAGCCCCTGTTCTGGTCTAGTGAGCTGCTCGCTGAGAAAGGCGTCTGATGCAGGATTAGATCCCAGGACCCTGCCACCATGACCTGAGCTGATGGCAGACACTTATCCGACTGAGCCACCCAGGTGTCTCCCCTTGAGTGTTCTGATCAGGGTTTATTACAGAAAGCAGGAAGGTATACAGGCTTCCCTGCGACCAAATGTCATAACAGTATGGCCCAGTGCATTTAAAAAGAACTTTCTAAAAATGTTGAATTGGTGGACAGCATTGAAATGAGAGGCTTTCACCATTTCAGGTCTAGCTAGTAATTCTCAGAGCTTACCAGAAATCATGTCTTGCTTAAGTACCAGTCTTAACCATTAGTATAATGCGTTTTGGGCCATTTGGTACAGCGGCGAAATCCTGTCTGCCCAAAGGGATGATTTCAAATTTATAGGATTACTGCTGGATCTCATTACTGCATATAGAGTTATTTCCAAGTTCAGTTTGGAATACTACTGGAAAATTATTTCTCCTCTAGATTTTGCTGTGTTTGAATGGATGAATCTCTAACAAGGGTCTTTGTGGTGACAGAGCTCATTCTGTAAAGAATGTTTCCTTCCCTCTGGATTTGAAAGGAAGGTAGTAAGAGGGAAGTAGAGGGAGAGATGGACATTCTTCTCATCCTGGGGGCCACTTCATGATAATGAGCCAGCTGTGTGTCCTTGAAGTCTTAAAAATCTCCCATTATAAAACAGAACAACACCTGCTGTTCACGTTCTTTGGAGAAAAGGTGGGTTTTAGACAGCGATGTCCACACGTCCCTTGTTCCCATAAGACGTGCAACTCTCCCACATAGTATCTTAAGGAAACAGTTTGTTCTGAGACACAAATTTATAGGCTCGTTGTTAGGAAAATGCATTGATTTTTCAAAAATAACTTTTTTTTTTTTTTTTTTTTTTTTAGTTTATTTGAGAGAAAGAGATCACAAGTAGGTAGAGAGTCAGGCAGAGAGAGGTCCCGGGAAGCAGGCTCCCTGCCAAGCAGAGAGCCTGATGTGGGGCTTGATCCCAGGACCCTGAGATCATGACCTGAGCCGAAGGCAGAGGCTTAACCCTCTGAGCCACCCAGGCACCCCAGAAATTATATTTTAGCGAGATACTCACCTTCTCTTTA